CAAGGAAATTTTTTTCAAAGATCAAGTACCCCAGCTACAGTATCCCTCTACCTGAGGTTGAACACACCAGGATTCATTGTCCTCTTCTGTGTCTTTAAGAAGTGCGAAATTATTCATTTTGTTTGGTAAAAGATGTGCCGAAAAAAATTGTTCCGGGTTTCTTGAGGGCATAAAATTTAAGTCAAAACACTGAAACTAGCCAACAGGAAAGAAAACTTCATCAAATAAAGATCAAAATAAGCATAAAACCATGCAAAGTTTGGAAAACTTAATGGCGGTATACGTCAGATGGTTGGTTTGGTCAATTTTGACTGTCATTTGAAGAACTTTTCAGATGAGCATTTAGCATTTACACTCTGAGCTGGTAATCCCTTCAGGAGACAAAATCAGTTTGTCAGGATCGCTGGCAGGCTGACCAACAAGCGGTGCAAAATTGATCAGTGTAACTAAAAAAAAAAATTATCATTTGTATAATCGGTGATCAAGGCGATGTGAACTGCAATTGAACAAATAATTAAGCAGAGGCAGGACTTTGGCATAATGTGCATTTTAATATAAAAGTTATCTTCAAATTATTAATTACCAATATCTTCAAATTTCTGGTAGTGATTTGAAATGTCGCTTGATAATGCATCGGGGAATCCCAATACTGCTAAAATCTTGCCATAAATGTTTCTATCGGCGAAGCTTTTGAGCCAATGATTCCTTCAGGCGGCAAATAAACAATAGGATCGCAAAAAGCTGACGAACACAGAGAGAGAATACCGGTCAAACAGCCATAAAATGAATTATACAATAAAATAAAATAATCTCATATATAAATGTGGCTCTTGGTACATGTACGATATCTAGAAAGTATATATATATATGCTGAAATATCTGTACTGGTGGTGAGTCATTAGTGGATTAGTAGCCGTTTCAAATATTCCAAAAATATGCTAAATTTGAAGCAGTATAAAGCCATGACAAAAAACAAAACTCCATTTTGGTCGAAAGCATCGAAATTGCCCTTTTTGGGCCTTAGCGAATTATCAGAGCTATTTACTGATAAACATATGTATTATCGAGTTGTTGTAATATGCCGCATGATGATTTATGATTTACCGCATTAATAACAAGCGACAGGTGCTGAGGCCCGGGGAAGGCCGCAGTACAGTTCGGGGGTCAAGGTGATGCTACGTTTCGCTGGATGGACACTGTCCACTCGCTCACTCACTAGCCCCATCATCCCTGTTGTCGGGAGCATTGTACTAAATTTGGTAGACAAAGCCCATCTTCTGAGCCTTCCCTGTTGCTATTGCTCCTCTGTAGTTATTCCCGCAAGTGCTGCTATACATCGTCGAATGAATCTGTAGTAATACAGAAGATAACTGCGACTACTCGCGATGTCCACTCTGTCCACTAGTTGTTTACA